ATCATTGTCTTCATTGAGTAACCAACATAGTTGCGGTTAGGGTACAGTTCTCCAGAATTTGCGTTATGAATTCGATTTGGGTCGGAAATTGATTGTAGCGAAATCTTCACAGGAGCATATGTGACGTACAACCGTCAACAATGATTAAGCAGAGAATAAGTTAGAAATTAAGGACCCACTTAATCATTTTTGTTATCTCCTGCGTAACTTCCTGCTTCCCATAGGTTAGGAAACAGCGAGATCACCATGTGAAAGTGAAAGTATGGGACCGTAGCAATGATGTGACTATTACAGAACATGCACGTACATGCTCATGTACATCATTAGGATTGATTAAGCCTACCTGAAGGTAAGAAGGTGCTAAGTTATGAACGTATTTATATATCATCATAACGCGACTTAACTCAAACCGCTTGTCTAGTGTCACCCATTTAAGACTTGTGAACAAATCAGCCGACGGTGTGTCATATGTCTTGTTCAATATTATTCTTGCGGTCCTCTTTTGAATTTTTTTGCAGCTTAGTTGTATGAGAATAAAATCTGTTCGACCATACAACAGAGCAGTAATCTAATCGTGGCAACACTAGACTGTTATAAAGTAACTTTAAGGATTTTTGACGCAAAAAACTCTTTGCTCTCTTTATCATGCTAATGTTTTTCTGGGTAAGTTAACTTAAGTTTTCGATTTGTTTAGACCATTTAAATTCTTCATCTATCAAATGTCCTAAGCATTTGGTGAACTGAACTCTTTTGATCAAATCGCCGTTTAATGAAATGGTGAAAGATTCAATTTTCTTGAGATTAGCATGATTGCGGTTAGGATACAGTCCTCCATAATTTGCGTTATGAATTCAATTTCGGTAGGAAATTTATTGCAGGGAAATCTTCACAGGAGCACATTTGACGTTCAGCCGTCAACAATGATCAAACAGAGAATGCTTTGAATTTCTTCCTTCTTCCGTTTTGGCTTGACTGTTGGTATGAAGCTAATAAACCAACATGGTAACAATACTGTGATGTTTTTGTGTTTACTAAAATGAATGACCTTGCAACATTACGACGGATTGTCTTGAGTCAATATGTTTATGGTAATGATGTCGCCCACACACACACACACACTCTCTCTCTCTCTCTCTATCTCTCTTTTACTGTTTTTATAACCCTTAACTGTCATTCTCTCTCTTTCTCTTTCTCTACTATACACTCACAATTACACGCACACACACACGCGCACACACACACACACTATCTATTTCACTCTTATTCCATCTTCACCTTTCCCTTTTCTGTCGCTTTTTCCATCTTTCTTTCTTCCTCCATTTTCATTCAATTTTCATGTCAATTTTTCTTTTTCGCTGCTAAATATTTATTTCAGTCATAATTGTTCTTCTCCTCACATGGGGTTGAACACCCTGACGACAAAGCCTGGTATCCACAGGGATCCATCGCCCCTATAATTATTCTATGATCGTTGTTCTCTTGTTTCTTGTGTACTCTATCTCTGCCGTCTCTCTCTCTCTCTCTATCTCTCTCTGTATCTATCTCTCTGTCTCTCTCTGTATCTATCTCTCTGTCTCTCTCTCTCTCAATCTATCTCTCTGTCTCTCTCTCTCTCTATCGTCTCTCTCTATCTCTCTCTCTCTCTCTCTCTATCTCTCTCTCTCTCTTTCTCGCAATCGGGGTAGTACTATCCAAAGTTCTTGTAAACGTATAGTCATTGTAAACATTGTTCCACTTTGTGTGTGTTCTCTGCATTCTATATTGTATATAATCAGTATCTTATGTGTTTTTTTATGGATTCGAATTGAAATAAAACTTGAAACTTTAAAATCGAATCGCATGCAAAATGTTTTTTTAAAGGAATAGGCTTTTTATCTAAACTAATATTGTTGCCATGATTTATTTTGGAAAATATTTTACAGTGCAATTTTACTTTCGTATCTATTATTAAGTTTCAGTTGTATTACAACAATTGATATCTCTCACGATTCCTCTTGAAGCCACCATCGCGTGCTCTAACTTGACAAGGTTTGTTTTAAGAACAATTGAAATTTCTCCCAGGAAATCTTACATTCAAAGCTTTTGCTCTAAAGGAAGACTGATCAAAATAAATATGTCACAATGTTACAGGAGATATGAGGTATTTTTCATAATCATGACCGTGTAATGGACCAGTGGTGGCCTGATGATGAAGACGCTGCCTTGCAAGCAATATATCGTAGGTTAAAATCTGACTTGCTTCCAATAACAAGATCGAGCATGCAATGGTTTTTTTATTGGATGCAAGCCTTTTTTTACAACAGCATGTTACCTAATACCATTTTTTGCATAATTTACACATCAGAGGGAATGGGTGGTATCTTCAAAAGCAGACTAACTTTAGTCCATGACTTAATCCACCGACTAAGTATGGAATGCCAAGTGTTCATATGAATATATTTTTGAATAATTTAATCTGTCACTAATTAAAACAAAATTAATAACACAATAAATAAACAACAATATAACTATGATATAATTATGTTATCATGGTAATTTAGGGACATATCAAATTATTCAAAAATATATTAATATGGACACTTGGCATTCCATACTTATTAGGTGGATTAAACCATGGACTAAAGTTATTCCGCTTTCGAGAATACCATCCAATGTATTCAAGAGAGTTCTCTGTATTTGAAATTCATTTGAAAGGTAGATTGGTAGATGGTAAAATCTGACCGACCAGGTGATCTGAGAAAGATTAATACACTTCTTTAAAAGACTCTATGTTGTCTCTCAATACCAATTGACATTTTAAGTCGAACCCTAAGGGTTAGATTTGTTGTTAAACTTACCATAACATACCATCCAGTTATTGAGAGTCAACTATTAAATGAAGAGAATCTGACAAAGACCTTTAGCTTATTGTATTTTTCCATTTAGTCTACTTAGGTTTTTACATGTATCAACAAACTTAAAGTAAATGAAACACCTGGATATGATGCAATTTTGAGAACGTCAGACCATATATTAACACTTAAAACCACAATTGAACAAACAAGGCTGGTGAAAAGAGTCATGTCTATTTTTTGCTTTGTTGATCTGCTGAAAAAGAGTGGTGAAGTGTAACGTCATCAAAAATAAGAGCGATATAACACTGAGTTTCTATAGGGAATATTTTTATTCAGATAGTCATATCTCAGCAAATACTTAACATATTCAAAATGTGTGATGCTCTTTTGGAAAATGAAGAAAACATTGAGAAATCAAAAAAATAGATTTGTATGATGTCACAGCTTCGGTACTATTTTAGCCTTCGATAGTGTTTGGAGGAAAGGACTGTTTTATCTAATGTTGACCTGTGGAATTGGAGGCCAGTTTACGAAATTATTACTGACATGTATAACAACCTTAAACTGAGTGTAAAGCTGAATGAAAGGATAACCTAGTATTTTGAAACCAATTGTCGCGTAAAACAAGGCTGTACTTTAAGTCCCACCCTGTTTAAGCTATACCTAAATGACCTGCCACATGAGTTGGGAACTATTGATACTCATCCCGTGTAATTGAATGGAAAGTTTAGTGAAATGTTTAATGCATGCAGGTGATATTGTATTGATATCAAAGTCAAGAATTGAAATGCAAACATAATATAAAGACTTGATGTGTACTGTAATAAATGGCTGTCGAATGTTAATATTGACAAAATGAACATGACTATTTGTAACAAGAACGGAAAGATGTTGAAAGATCAAAATTTCAAGGTGAATGGTTAAAAGATTGAAATTGTTAAACAGGCAACATATTTAGGTCTTGTCTTTAATAATAATGGAACATTCAAGGACACGAGGGTTAATCTAGCAAATATATCAAAGACAGTTTTATTTAAATTATTCCAATAATTCGGGTACAAGTTCCCTTATATTAAAAAAGCAACACAATTATTAGAAATATAAACCAAAATTGAAGATTTTGGCAATGCCAGTTCTAAATTGATTTATGTAATGAGTGTGTACATGGCAAGAACACGATCAATTGAGAATATAATTATATACTATTTAAGCAGATTATACTAACAGAATCATATGTATTAACCGTTAAAAACCGTACAATTACGAACAAATATCTGCAGACTGAGAATTAGTTCATCTAGGCGATAGAAACTGGAAGACATAGACGACTGGAAAAAATACCTTCACATTAAGTACTTGTAATGAATGTAACTTAGGAAGGGTTGGGGATGAATTTCATACCATAATGGATTGGACTGTATATAAGTCTGAAAAGGGAGTATTTCTCAATAAAATGGCTGAAATATCTGGACAATTTAAGGAATTCAAAATTCCTACTTTGCTCTTAATTATAAGAGTTATATCAATTTTTAACATTCGAAGGGATCTAATGATTCTAATGTTATCGTATTTTAAATTGAATTAACGCCTTTATGTCTTACATTTCCAAAACTTAATTACAGAGATGAAGTATGATGGTATCCAAACTTAACAATAATATGGTGTATTTATATGGCACATCATGTGATTATAAACCTCAGTGCCCCTACAAGTGCTATTAGAAATAACATTCTTAATACATTTTTTTGATTCGAGATCATGATATGATTTTCAATATTATTCTTCATCTACATCTGTAACTAATTTCAAATTATTTATTTGCTACTGTTTCATCTTACATAAACAACAATGATTGCCAATGCATTTACAAAACGTATGGACTTTAAACTATATACACCCTCTACATACCAATGTAAATCAATGCATTTACAAGTGCTATTAGCAATTACATTCTTAATAAATTTTTCGATTAAAAATCATGATATGATTTCAAAATTATTCTTCATCTACATCTGTAACTGATTTTGAATTATTTATTTGCTACTGTTTCATCTTACATAAAAAAAACAATGATTGACAATGCATTTACAAACCGTATGGACAATATTGTCTGATTTAAACATTACATCATGTGCTTGAAGCCAAGGAACACTGAGTTCAGCACAAAGTAGAAGCAAACAAACAAAACATTAAACAATATATTACCTTTACATACCAACGTAGCATTAACATAATAGTGCATTAAGGGGTGATGATACACAAGGGCTTCAGTCTGAACATGGCGTGATGTGCTTGAAGCCAAAAAACATTGAGTTCAGCACAAACTAGAAACAGACAAGCAAACACACATTCAAACAAACCAACCAAATAATGCAGTACTCTCAGGCAATCGTCGAACGTTTTTGACCTGGGCGGCGAACGACGAAGTATCCAATGAGTTATAGAACCACGACATCTACTATGACCACGCCCACTGCAATGCCTATAATAGCTCCAGTTAACAAGCCCCGCCCACCATTGGTAGTAGCTGGAATTCAAGAGAGATGAAGAAAGTGAAACATAATTAAAAGAATACTCTCAAGACCTGTCTTGAATAAAACTTTAATAATAATTTGAGTATTACATTTTGCGTTTAAAATTAGAGTTTAGAGTCCGGTGACCGGTGGAGGCCCTTCGATGTTGTGTTCATGTATTAACCAATATACCAAAATAAAACTCTTAATTGCTTGTATTGAATATCATTTATCGATCTAAATTCTTGAAAAAAGGTCAGTTTATCATGTTCGACCGAAGTTTGGTGAACTTTTTTATATCAGTGTAATTCGTACCCCATAATAAATTTATATAATAAATTAACTCCTTGATCGAAGGAATAATCACTATGAAGATGACGGACAAAGAAAGAGGACAAAATATACAGTTCCTCAGGTAGACAAAGGAACAGCCCTTCACTTCTATTATGTAAAAATGTGTTGAACAGGTGTCACATGCATATTCACCTATTTTACTCATTTTTACATAAAAGCAGTGAAGGGATGTTCCTTTGTGTACCTTAGGAACTGTATATTTTGACCTCTTTCTTTGTCCGTCATATTCATAGTGAATAATAGTCATATTGTAAAGCGCTATTTACTACGTTTCTGAGCCATTTAAATTGTTATTATCATTATTTCCCCTGTCATTGGATTCAATTCCAGATCCGCACATGACGGTGCACACGCTGCACTCCCTGAGGAGTAGTTCGGCCATGCGCCACTTTACAAGCGCACACATGCCAATCCAACAACACTAACGCTCGCTTCCAACCGGGTACCAATTTAACACCTGGATGGAGAGTGGCATATGTAGATTAATGTCTCGCAAAAGGAAAAATATTTCCAGCCGGGACTTGTACCGCGAACCATGAACCATGTGATATTGGTCGAATAGTTTTTGAGCGTCGAGTAACACCTGGCTAGAATGCTCCCCAGGGAGTGGAGATTGCGCACACAGTGTGTGTGGGTAAGCACTGAATCCAATGACCGGGGTTATAGTATATCTTTAAAGTGCTTAGAGACATTGTATTAAGCGCTATATACGCGAAATATTAGTATTGTTATCATTATATACAGTCCGGGGCGTAACCACTAGACCATTTGACCACTGCACCACACATCGATATGACTATAACTATTTTAAAGATGGACTAGCCTACCGGAATTAGGAGTAGCCGAGAACGATGATACGGACAGGGAGTCCCCATCGGAGGAGAGAACGAGACCTTCACCGGTAGACAGCTCAGCCACGTCTTCAGCGAGAGAATCAGCCACATCTTGGGTGGTAGCAAAGACTTGAATCTCTAATTCAGCGACAATGCTGCCAGGATTGAACGAATTGGCTACACAGTCCAGTCTACGAAGATCTGATCCTAGCTCCCGCTCGAGATGATTCGTGGCCTGTCAAGAAAACGATATCGACACAGTCTCTTGTTTAAATGGGTTTTATGGACCTCGTTCACTTTATGTGTGATACGAAACATATTGAGAGAGAAAAGGGTGATAGAAAATTAGAGGGAGGCATAGAAACTTTACTTTAATAGACTGAGCTTTTCATCTATTACAAATAAGAAAAGATTCTGCAATCTCCGAATGAAGGTACATTATTGCGGAATTAGGAAGTGCATAGCAATATAAAAACTTCGGGTTTTTTCGGCCATCTTTTCAGATACAAATCTCGTGAAATTTCGATAGTATATCAGGAACTCATTTTCAGAAGTATGAACCTTTTGTATTGAACCCTTTAATTTTTTTCGGAATCGTGAATCCTCTCTCAATATGTACGAACCTTCGGAAAAAACGAACCTTCAGAATAATGGACTTCGGAAAAATGACATGTAACAATGTTTACGTACCACTCCGCAGTAGATTGTTTCAAGTTTCTTGAAAGCAGGGGAGGCCATGTTGGTCAGGTCAGTTGTGTACATCAGTTCTTCGCCATTAAGGGTTTCACCGGTTATGGTCAGTGTCAGAGTACTCCCAGATAACACTGTATACAATAACGGTGAAGACAAAATAATACAATCATAAGGAAATCCACTTTTATGCTGAGTTCTTATGCACTGGCAGGCTTACCTGCACACCATGTAATATGCACATTCTCACCCGAGTGCACCCCTTGGCCATGCCTCATTATGGATTCTTAGATTTGCACGTTGACAAAGTGGACTGCTGCGTGTGACGTTCTTTTAAAGGACGTCACATGTGACTGACAGTACCTTAAAAGGATGTTACACGTAGCAGTCCACGCACATCTAGAAGTCCCTATTAAATAGACGCCCCAAAGATGTTGAGTAAACCACAATGACTTTCGCATCATACCGGGTACCTATTTAATGCCCGGTTGAGAGTGGCAGACAATTGGATTAATGGCTTGCCAGAGAACGTTAGTCGTATTAATCCTAGGCTAGGATTCGAACCCTCGACCTTTTGATTGAGATTCAACCACTATAGGCCTACTAATACACCATGAGACCTTTGCTAGTCAAGGGATCTCCCATTCTTGGGCAGGTGTGGCCACCCTAGGTACGAAATCGTTTAAACTCACCGGTAAATGCCGTCTCCAGTGCATTGCAGATATCTTTAACTCCATTGTAACCGGTGTATCGAGAGATCAGGTAGCTCGTGACTTCAAACCCAGGAACATCGATCCCGAAGAAAGGTTCGATGATGTCATCAATTGCGTCATTCCCAATCATCATACATCTCTCTACGTCGGTGAAGATATCGAGAAAACTCTCAAGAGCATCCCTCCCTAAGGCCTTCCGGTCTGCCCCTATGTGTACACACGAAATAGAATACAAAATATGTTAAAGAATGGAACAATCGGACAACTAATATAGAGAGATACCAAACGAAATTCCATGCCACGCAAATGCAACAATATGTCTTTGACTCTACAAGATGAATATGTAAAAACTTAAATGCAGTATTTCAGAATTATTTTAAGAATTATGTTATATAATAATATGAAAGACATATTGTTAGTCCTATGTGAAGCATAATTTTTGTAAATCCAAAGGCAAAAGTTACGGCTTTATATTTGATAAGCTTCGGGACAGACAAAACCACCCCTATAATGAGTGTAAGATCCCTGTCGGAAGGGGCTGGTCCAATATCATCAATATGCTATTGGGGTGATAGTGTAAAGTCCGTATTGATCCTAAATGCCTTACGTCCATATGATAGAGCCTGTTGAATGGCCTCGCAGATAGCATCCCTGCTGTCATGTCCAAGCATTTGAGATCCTATATCTGCCAAATCGTAGATGATTGGATAGTGGGGCGATGTCTTGGAGATCCCGACACTTGAAAGGAACTGTTCCCAATCTTCACAAAAGTAGGGGGCTGCTTGAGGAAGCACTGCGCTGGTCAGCTCAGTGAGAAATCTGGTGGCCACTTCGGGTAACGATGGTTCTAGAAACTGCTTGATATTGGGACATACGGTGGATTGGTCGGAGATGTTCAAGCCGTAGAGGTCTTTGGTAGTATTACTTAGGATTCCGATGAAATCAAACATATCTTCCTCCGCCATATCTGCTTGCCTCCGCTTCCTGTTGCCGTCGTCCGTGGATATCAAATCAGTAAAAACAGCTGTTAAATCAGTACAGGAACTCTCTGCGTCGAAGACTGCCAGGTCGTTGGCTGCTACAAGTACCTCTCTGCAGACTGGCTCATAAAAAGCAGAGAACGTGCGGAAATCGGGTATCATGGACTCAAGATCTGGCAGGAACTCAGTGCATCCAAAGGCTAGAGAATCAATGGTACGTTCCTGGATCCATACTCCCCCTGCGGCGTTGATAAAGAACTCGACAGTCAGATTAGTGTCTGGGATGAACCGGAATGGAACTGGGTCTGGTAGATCCACCACAGCTGGGGTTTGAAAGGAGGAGAAACAATAAATATTAACAAAAACGATCGCTCGGATTTTCAAGAAATCAGCTCAATGGCAAGTTCTAGACCCTATTGTTTATCCCTTAGGGCTTTTTATTCGGATATGGGGCTTTGTTGTTGTTAACGTTGTTGTTGTTTTTTTTTTTTTTGTTTTGTTGTTGTTGTTGTTGTTGTTTTTTGTTTTTTTTTTTTGTGTGTTTTTTTTTTTGGGGGGGGGGGGGGGTTACGTGTATATGAAGGGCAACTGAGCTCTGTGTCATAACATATAGACATGTGAAACGTATTGCACCTTATGTAAACATAATCTTTTTTTTAAGCCAAAGTTTTGCCGCGCCTTGTCTGGACGAGCCGTTAGAAACATGTTTGGTTTGCGTAATTAGTCACTATAATTGGCGCATTTCAATTTGAGCCTACATTTGTTTTTCGAAAATATTTGTAATCGTGATAATACTTAACTTAAAATGTACCACATTCACAGGCTATAGATCATTGGCAAAGATTACAATAATAATTATCACATGAAAATAAATCTAACTCAATATATCGGTTTACTAACATATTCAAATTTATGGATGTTTCTTTCCTAGGGGACATATAATAGTGACGAATTGTTTATTAACCTTTTATCTATGAATGAACTACAATACTTGGAATCCAGTCAGGATACGTTAGATGCTGCTTTGTATGGCAAGCCTCGGGCAAGCTGTCAAGTTGTCAAGAACAACATTTGTTTAAAAAGTATTCATTCGATTTGAATATGTTAGTAAACCGGTCTATTAATTTAGGAAGAGGCAGATCTACGATTTAGGGTGCGTTTAAGCTCAATCTTGAAGGCAGAATGAGCGATTTGAAACGCTCATCGTAAACACTCATCGTTATCGCAGTTCCACGGTGTACTGTTTATGCTCACTGCTCTGGCTCCTCCAGGCAATTCTCGCTGGGTGGCCTTGCAGCTGGATTCGCAAACCTGCACTGTGCATGCTACGTAGACCCACTAGAGGTCCTTAAGACAGACATAGAGAGGGCTAAAAAATGATGACAGCCATCCATTTTCACAGTTTTCATGCTTGCTGGGCTACGCCCCACTGAAAAAGGTAATACGGTCACGTGGTTTGATGACACATTTGACATCATTGCGGGCATGTCCGATTTGATAATGTCATAATTTCATAATTAGGAATGACGAAATTGCCAGAAACGTACTGGGATTATCAAGTGCATATTATGTTTCGGATAAATGTCTTGTTTTCAATTAACATCATAGTTAGCTTTTTAAAGACATTTTCACCGGAAAGACGCCTGTAGTGACGTCAAATGCGTCATTACTGAAACTGGGTTGTTTTTCTGCGCGTTTTGAGTCGTCATTTTTTTTAATGGATTCCAGAATTATTGATGATTTCTAAGGAAAATCAATGTCATATTCGGAATCTCCGTCAAAATTTATTCTACAAGTCTTTTTCTCTCCATTTTTTAGCACATTTTGGTTAGAGTGACCCTTTAACTCTGCATGTGTAGCCCTTTCTTTTTCTTTGAATGATACGATAAATGCACTCTCCTGATAAATAAGTGAATAAATAGATAATCATGATGGTAAGCTCACTTGTGAAAGCATTCTCTACGAAGATGCAGAGCGAATCAAGGGGGTTCGGTCTTTGGAATCCCGTGTACTGGTAAAGCTGTTCATCGGTAATCATTAATTCGTCGCCGATGTTGATGACTGGTTCGATGACGTCATAGACTATTCCATTGGCCAGCATTGAACACCTGGCGGAGTTTGTCGGGATTTCTAAAAGGCTGAGAATTAAATCCGTTGAGAATGACCGTCTCGCTTCACCATTGTCACCTGTATTGTGACGAAATAAATAAAACAAAAATAAATATACAAACAAACTAAACAATAATTTGGGTGTGGTTAAATATGACCTTAGAAGATTTTAATCGTTGCAAAGGACATTTAAAACTCATCAGGAAATAAGATCAATAATTTTTGGAGTAATCTTAACAGCACAAACACACGTTATACTAGCTTCTCTTGTATATTGCATAATTGTGATCAAACTAATAAAGCGAAGGTTGGATTTCTGATATTGACCATATAAAATACTTTCTAATCCTCATCGTTATTTGGATAGCAGTTTGGCAGTTTATCAAGTAGAAATCCCTCCTGAAATGGACTGATGTTTATCTTCTCATATACATTCACTATTATGACACGAGTTAAAAAGTTAGGCCCCAAATTCTAATGCCACAGGTTGGGTGTAAAGAGTACCCATGAGATGCGGGGGTAGAAATTCTATGCCATTTTTCTTTCATTTTCATTATTCCAAAAAACGTGTCAGTAAATCAACTCTTCCTTCTAAAGCAATATAATATCATGACTAGTACCCAAATTTATCATTAAATGAAACTCTTACCTTGGACGGAGAGTGTTTGAGTGATAGCTTGACAGAGTTCCTCCCTGTTGTCGTACCCCACAGCTTGAGATCCTATACGAGCAAAATCCTGGATCAAAGGATACTCTGGAGAGGTAGAGTTTATCCCGAAGTCCTGGAGGAAACCATCCCAGTCTTGGCACAGTGGAGCTGCCCGGGGAAGCAACGCACTCAGCAACTCAGCCGCGAACTGAGAGGTCAAATCTTGAAGAGATGGCCTCAAGAAATTCTCCTTGACGTTGGTGCAGATGGTGTTGATTGTAGATGGGTCATTGATGATCATGTTGATGTCGATTCCATAGAGGTCTCTGGTGATGTTGGTCAGGATTTCAATGATATCCAGGGGATTATTCATGGATTCAGGGTATTCCGTGGTTGGTCCTGCTTGTCTGCGATATCTTCCATCACTGCCCTGGGACGTCAAGTTGGTGATCATTATCATAGGGATTATGTCATCATCACACCACCCCGTTGCGTCAAAGGCATCTAGATCATCAGAAGCTTCGATGACGTCATCACAGACCGGACCCCAATACAGACTTCTCTGGTCTACCTCTGGTATTACCGAACCTATATAAGGTAGGACCTCTCTGCAAGCATAGGCCATGGAATCAATGACACGATCCTGCTGCCAGATGCCGCCAGCAGCGTTGATCAGATATGGGATTGTGAGCCCAGGAACGATCTCTCCTGGGTTGACGAATGGCTCATCTTCCGTTGCAGGTAGCGTAGTATTCTGACCCGATACTATGGCAACCAGCAAAGTGGTCGCAAGGACGGTTAGAAACGCCTTCATGGTAGACAAGCTCTTGGATCTAACGCTGTGATGTTCTCTGACGAAAATTAACTCCTTAGTATCTGTATAAAACAAAAAATGGCACGGAGGACAGAAAAGTGATTAGTAACTTTATACAATTCTTGTACGGAAATGAACTCCTTAGTTTATGCATTAAAATAAATAGTGAAGAGGACATAAAAGTGATTCTTGTACGAAAATAAAATCCTTAGTTTCTGTAGAAAAAGGGCGTAGAGGACAGAAAAGTAATTATTAACTTCGTATACAAAAATGAACTTATTAATGTTTGTATTAGAATAAATAGCGTACAGGACATAAAAGTGATTCATAACTTCATAAAATTCTTGTACGAAAACGGAATTCTTAATTTCTGTAAAAAAGAAATTAAAAAAAAGCGCATAGAAGACAGAAAAGTGATTAGTAACTTCAAAACATTATTGCACTTATTTGTCATTTACTGTCACTCTCCACACGAGAAAGCTCTCTCAGTATTAACATAAGAGGACTATCTCTATCTCTCTCTCTCTCTCTCTCTTCCCTTCTCTCTCTCTCTTCCCCTCTCTCTCTCTCTCTCTCTCTCTCTCTCTCTCTCGCTTCCCTTCTCTCCCTCTCTCTTCCTCTCTCTCTCTCCCTCTTTATTTCTCTCTTATTATTCTATTTTACCTTCAGTTCAATGGCATGATAGTCAAATGATACCGAATGTGTGTACCCTGTCGACTGAACTAAATGGTATCCATGCAATGTACAAACTCCAATGCTGGTGTCTAAAGATAATGCTTCATTCCATCTTGATTGACCATAGTGACGATACAAACAATCAATAAGATAGCCTCCGACCTTTTCATACACTGTTGCTCATATAGGGTGAATATTTTTGTTTTACCCCAATTTATGGAATTATTTTAAAATAATTTAAAAATAATACACAAAGAACGTTTAAACAATTTTTAATTTTAAGTTTTACCTTAAGATTTTTTTTTTCTTTTTGAGGCCGCCATCCTAGTCAAGCTTCGCTTATGATTGCGGTGTCCTGCACTTTTTTCAACTGATAGTTTGGATAATACTTTAAATTCATAATAATATGTTAAGTTTCGTTATTATATGTACATATGTAAAAAAAAAAAAAAAAAAAAAAAAAAAAAAAAATGTACATGAAAAGTTATCATTGTATGTATATTTTGTATTATACTTTACGTTTATATGTTCTTTGTTATTTTGTTATTATATAAATTGGAAAAATGCAGAAATAAAATTTAAAAAAATCATATCAAATATTATATGTAACCCTAAATGTATACATTAACAGGACATATAAAAAACCGGTATATTACCCTTACCCTAACTCTAGTTTCATTTCAAATAATTCAAATAATAATTTACTGTTCATAGATGATTTTTTATATAATTAGCAATTTTCTAAGTGTAATTTTTTTTGGACTCACAATGTTTGAATTATTAAGGAGGTTTGATAAAGTCAACCTGTGAAAAAAGTGCCTAGAGCCATTTAGGAAAGACTGATCATGTACATGTATAGTACTTAAGACCTGATGTAAACATGTACCTGAAGATTTTGAAATGATTATAATGGAAATATAGCATAAAAATATTCATATTTAGAATATGAGGTCATTTGTTCCGGTTATTAAATGCACTGAGAAACCTCAAAATTTTCATCTCTAACCACGTTGTTATTAATTCATTTATTCATATGCCACATAGTTTGTTTACTCTATATAAATTCAGTATATATCACCCCTAAATTATTTCTACCATTGTTATTTATCGCTTTTTATCTTTTATTTGCATTTGATTTCCAACCTTTTGGTTGCAATGAATAGGCAAAAACATAATTAGACCAAGGCTATGTCGGTCCGGAGCAAACTGTAACAGGATATAGAAGTTGCCGGTCACGTCCATCATAACTACAGAAACGAAAAGAAAATTCATTTGGGGGTTTTTCCCTTCCCCCCGAACTGTTTGAAGACAATTCCACAGCTTTAGCATGTATACTATGCATTTGGAGATATAAACCGTACACGGGCAAATTTTAATATACCTATAAAAATAGACCGCTTTTGCGTGAACCCGGACGTGCATTATGATCACTACTCATTAAAACGTGCTTCACTCATGAATTCGGAAAACTAATATTTTTTATTCCAATAAAATACCCTTGGCTCGCTTCATACGACCTCGAAAGCAATGCGCATGACACGTGCACATACACGCACAGACAGAAATTAATATCAATAAACATCTATGTATTTACCTTGCCCCCATGGTTCTAATGTAAGCCGTCACAGTGCAAGATACCTCCCACAATAAGTAGAACACATTGCATGATCATTTGTCAGATCGAGCATAAATAAATAGTTTCAAAAGCTCAATTGCAAAAAGGTTAGTATAATAGGTTATCCATCCATAATTAACAAGTTACCAGAATCGAAACATATATTCACAAAACAAAATATTCTAATGACGCATTTATATACCGCAGTTTTTGTTGACATATCTACCAATGCGTAAGTAACCATATGATAAAAACGTATACAAAATATATGTATATATAATTATATAAAGGTAGTTTCAGATAGATCATTACGTCAGCGAGCTCCAGGGGGGGGGGGGGATGGGGGCGTGTTACAAAGCCTTTTTTCAATGACAAAAAAAAAAAAAAAATCAGTGTCAAATCTGCTGATAGCCAAACAAAAGCAAGGATTTTAGTAGCTTATAACAAAAACTGTCATTTTTCACTGATGACAAGTTTTGTGAAATGCCCCCCTGATAGTTCAATCATTTCATAAAACCTCCCACATAGAATATGGAAGAGAGAGAGAGAACCTCCTAAGAGCTCCATGATTTAACCTACAGCTGTTCTCGTTTTAGCATGTCACAACTATATTTAGTTAATCGATTCGCTATGAAAGACAATTATGTTCATATATCTTCGTAGCACTTGGTTCTACCAAGATTAATTTTAATTCTGTTTCGTGTTCATACAGTGAAACATCCGGAACAGGATATATTTCACAAAATTATAAAGGTCTACATGTAGAGACGGTGAATTTTAGATGATGATTATGATGATGATGTTGATGCATGATGATGATGATGGTAATGATGATGGTAATGATGATGGTGATGAAGATGATGATGATGGTAATGATGATAGTGATGAAGATGATGATGATGTAATGATGATGGTGATGAAGATGATGATGATGGTAATGATGATGGTGAGGAGGAGGAGGAAGATTATGATGACGGTGATGATGATTATGATGATGAGGATTTTGATGAGGATGATGATAATGATTATAATGGTGACGGGGGTTTCTTGCAAGACATGTCGGCCTTTTTATAGTAAATTGGTTGGACTTGATTATTATGATGATGATGATGATGATGCATGATGTTGATGATGGTGATGATGATGGTGATAAAGATGATGATGAAGATGAAGATGATTATGATTATGATTACGATGAAGGTTATTATGATGAGGAGGAGGATGATGAGGATGATGATGGTGACGGTTGTTTCTTGTAAGACATATTGGCTTTTTATAGTTAATCAGTTGGACTTTACCAATTCGACAAATGATGTACATAACAGGGATCTGGTCTAATATATTTCGAGGACAGTAGACCTATACATGAATTATTTGGGAGGTTTGAATAAGCCTACGATAAAGTCGACCTGTGAAAAAAGGAATTGCCTAGAGCCATTTAGAAAAGACTGATCATATACATGTAAAGAACTTAAGACCTGATGTATACATGTACCTGAAGATTTTGAAGTGATCATAATGAAAATATTCAGATTTAGAATATGAGGCCATTTGTTCCGGTTCCGGTTCCGGTATTTCTACCATCAGTGGTTATTAAATGCAAGCACTGAGAAACCTTACATTTTTCATCTTTACCTGAACTCATTCATTTGCAGTGAGCTAACCACGTTAATTAATTTATTCATATACCACATAGTTTGTTTACTCTTTATAAATTCAGTATATATCACCCTAAATTATATCTACCATTGCTATGTATTAAGCAAATAATTACCGTTGGTGAAGGTGATGGGTCAAACTATCACTTCTGAGACGATCTGAAAGTAGCTATCTTTCCGAGGCGAAGCTGAGAAAAGATAGCGTATTCGTTCAGATCGCCGAAATGATAGTTTGCCATCGCCTAAAACCAAAAGGTGATTATTTGCTTTATATTCCACATCGGAAACATTTCACTTCTTCCGTCATTTTTAGAGCAACAAGTCATCAATTAACAGCTAGCAAACGGGATACGATACGTACAGTGCATGCAGTATGGAGGCGTGACCAAAGTTCGCGTACTATTACACTAAAGCGCTTAATAAAGTGAAGAGCAATACGCAGCGTATTACGAGAAAGTGCGTTGCACTGTGTAGATAGTACTTCTATCTTCAGTGAAAGTGCGTTGCACTGTGTAGATATTACTACTATCTACACAGTGCAACAAACTTTTCTTCTCCCATCAATGATGAGCAAACTATCTTTCATCACGTGATTTACTTTTGACCAATCGTAGAGCAAGATTCTTAGTACACTGTCGCTCATAAAGGTGGAATATTATGCCCGCTTTGATTTCCTCTGGACGGCCATGCATTATGGCTCAAGGCATGGGCACACAGAAGATTTGTTTATGTTGGGAACCGGGGTAAAATGCAATAAATTATTGAAAAATTATTGCATTTTCTGTTATTTATTTTTGTTTATGGAAACTGCCCCCTACCCAGGCCCCTGCTACGTACAGTCATGGTTCAGTGACAAAGCAATGGCCTCGTAACTGTGAGGCCCCAGGATCAAAACCGTGTCGATGTGCTATATTAGTGCCCTTTTGTGGGGCATTAATCCTCATTACTGTCATTTATGACTTAAGGGCATAGGTCCCCTAGTTGATGAGCATAGTAACATACACATGCTTTAGCAGTCACACAAATCACACATTGGCAAATTATTATTCAATAAAATCTGAAAATGTATACTATTATCTAGATCTATTATTTTTAAATTATTTTTAAAATAATT